GCGCGTCTGCTGCGTGGGGCGGTGCTGCGCGTGTTGGCCGCGGGCGCGATTGGCCGCCCCGAGCTCGCCCGGCGCCCTGCCTACCCCGGCCGCTTTCCGGTGACCCCGCCGCAAAACTCGCCTCGAACTTGAGACCCTGCTCTAGCAATAGTTAACCTGTGGCTGTCACCCCGGCCAGAGCTGACTGTGCCTGAGGGGTTTAAGGTCGAAGGTTAATGGCGAATGGACTTTTCTAGGTACTTGTTGACATTTACTTGTACTTTATCTTTAGCTGTATGCGTAACTTAGGAATTTAAGTCAAGAAAGGGTACCGGGTGGGGCCTGCAGCTCTGTGGCACAGCGCCTGCCTGTCAAGCTCAAGGTCCTGAGTTCGATTCCCGGTACCCGCCCCAAGATTGCATTGGATAACTTTTGTTTGTTTGTTTGAAATAGGATCTCACTATGTAATTCAGGCTGGCTTCGAATTCGAAGCGATACTCCTGCCTCAGCCTCCCGAGTGCTGGAATTAAGAGGAGTGCCACCAGCCTGGCAAAAGCCACAGTTCTATGGCTTGTGTATATACATTTACTTATGTAATTACTAGATGAACTCTTCCTGATGTTTCCTTGTCCTGTCTCTGCCTGCCTCCAGAGTGCTGGGATTACCGCCACGCCTGGCCGAGATTTTTTTTTTAAGGAATAGGTAAAATTGATCTTGATACTTAGTATCTTCAGTCCCCCCACTTCATTATGGATATTTCGTGCTTCTTGTAGAAATGCTGCAAAATACAGAAGAATGTGATCACAGAATCAGCATATATTGGGAGTTTGGTTTAAAGATTTTTCTTGTTCTGTGGCTGGAACTGCCTGCTCCCACGCTAGGGTTTGAACCAGGACTGCCCATATGCTAGGCAAGCACTGTTAACATTGTGCTATATCCTCAGTTGTAATTACGTATGTGTATATGTATGTATGTATGTATTGGGTTTTTGGAGACAGGGTCTTACTAAATTATTCAGGCTGGCCTTGAACTCTTGAGTAGCTGGAATTATTGATGTGAAACACCCAGTCTCAGTACTTTACCATTTTAAGCGTTTTAAAGTTTTTGGTGATATAGGACTAATCATTCTTGTTCTTTCCTCATGGATTGATGTGTGAAGACCAAAGGAGATGATGTGTGTAAAAGCATTTTTAAAGTTAGAGAAGATTTTGTGTAAATGTAGTCAGTAATAATGTTATAGAAGCCACTTCTGCTGGCCTGAAGAATTTCATTTTATTTCATAAACTTCCCAAGGGTGTTAATATCCTCTGGGGAAATCACTGAATCTTCTTAGGAAGGCATAAAATGGGACTGAATGCCGTCTTCTAAATTTGCCTTTGCTACTTTGATTTCGCTCTAGAATCTGGTGCAAGTATTTTCTGCTGAACCCAGTTTTGTTCCCCCAGAGTTTCTACTCAGATTTCATGGAGCTCTCTGTAGTTATTATATTATGCACATTTTTCAAAGACATTGCTCAAGACAAAAGAGAGAAAGGCTACAGGGATTGGATTGGTTTTTTTTAGGGCCACTTGAGTGACCCCCAGAAGGTAGGTTCTACCTTGAGCCAGCTAAAAAATTTGAAGGTTGCAGTACTCTTGGATCCGGTAACAGGGGTGTAGATTTGCTCTAGACATTGTTGTGATTAAATCTAGGGGATTAGGTGGGGTGAGTCAGATGCAAGCTCTATGCTCACAGTGTGAAGTCCCTGCACAATTAACTAGAATCCAAAAACTTTGGGGAAAGAAGCAAAGAGCTTCTAGGGTGCTGGTGAAGTGCCCTAATTTATGCTTCCTCTTACTTGTGCTAAATATAGTGTTATTGGGGAAGGATTACTGGTTTATACTGAAGAGGATTAAGTATTTAGGACATTGGGGCCTCCTTACATACAATTGAGTTCTGTCAAACAGTTGTGGTTAGAGAGAGGGAAATTCACTAGTGTCAAAACTTGATACAAAACATAGAATTATCTTGGAAGTGGTGGGCGTCCAGCTCCAGCTGCTCAAGAGATGGATTCAGTGTTAGCTAATCCAGGGATTTGGGTCGAATTTAAGGGAGAGCCTAAACATTTTAAGGTCTTGATCTGAGACAATTAAAGCCCAGCCCTGGTTGAATTGGAATTCCTTGGATTGTCCTGAAACTGAGCTGATCTATCTCCAGGGAGTGGTAGGAAAAGTATCAGGCTAATGACCAATTACTTCATCAAAGTCTCCAACACATCCTGTTATCACTTAGTGGTTACTAGGCTGTGTCAAAACACCTTACAGACCTGTGGGTAGGAGGAACAGTGAAAATGTACCAGAGACGTATGCCATTTAAACAATAGTTTTACCGGGTGTGGTGGTGCACACCTGTACTCCCAGCACCTGGGTAGGCTGAGGCAGGAGGGTTGTTGTGAGTTGGAGGCCAGCCTGGACTGCATAGTGAGACCTTTTCTCAAAAAAACAAAAAAAGAATAGTTTTAACCAGTAATAAGGTTTATCATGGTCCTTTGTATTTCAGCTTACAGTTACATTAGACCACTCCCAATATAACTTTACTCTCACTTAGGGAAAAAAAAATTTTTTTTTTTTGGTCTTTTTGAAACAAGGTCTTGCTAGTTTAGGCTTGCCTTGAGCTCACTTTGTAGCCCAGGCTGGTTTTGAACTCAAAATGATTCTCCTACCTCAGCCTCCCAAGTGCTTGGATTACAGGTTTGTGCCACCACACCCTGCTCATTTAGGGAAATATTAAACCTCCACAATACAGGTAGTTGTGAGTTACAGTAGAGTAATTTTTAAAAATTAGTTTCCATGACATGCAGATCAGGCCCAGGTAAATGTCGTGTAAAACTAGGCTTTATTATTATTTTTGTGGCGGGGGTGTGATATTTTGAGCCAGGGTCTTGCTGTGTAGTTCAGGCTGAGCTTGAACTGTACTACCATTATGTAGTCCAGGATGGCTTCTTGGCAGTCCTCCTAAGGGCTGGGATTATAGGCATGTGCCACCATGCCCAGCCTAATTAATTTTTTCTTTTTTGAGACAGGGTCTCGCTATGCAGTTCAAGTGGCATTGAGCTCACTTTGTAGCCCAGGCGGGTCTCAAACTCGCAAGGATCCTCCTGCCTCAGCCTCTTGAGTGCTGGGATTACAGGCATGTGCCACCACACCTGGCTCCCTTTTCTAATTTTAAAAGCTAAACCTTTTGGTTAAAATGTATTCTTGTGCTATGTAAAAAGCCCTATTCTAAGCACTTTATTAATTACCTCACTTAGTCCTCAACCCTATGAAATAAATATATTATTACTGTACTTTATAAATGTCAAACTGAAACATAGTGGGGTTTAGTGCCAGAAGCTTGCTTCATGTTACCCAACTAAAGAAATAGTCAGGATTTAAAGAGCAGGAAAACAAGAGGTTCATTTTGGTGATTGAACCCAGAGCTTCACACATGGATTCCAACCGCAGGGGATGCTCTTAACCTCACTATATTAGGGACATGGTTATGCGGAAGTGTAAGAGCTACTGAACAGTGACAATCATTGCCCTCTTCAAGAACCATCTAGGATTTTTCTAAGTAGCAGGTTGGTATCTTCTGGGTATTTGGAGACAGTTGAATTAATACAATAGGAGGAAAAACAGCAGTTCACAATGTAATATTTAAAAGTGAACTTATTTTTCTTTGATTCACTGGCAATGTTAAGTTGTATACATTGAGGCTGCTTCTGTCCTGGCTTAGCATTTGTCTGGCCTCTTTCCTTCCTTCCTTCCTTCCCTCCCTGCCTTCCCTTCTTTCCCCTTCCCTCCCTTCCCTTCCTTTCCTCCTCCCCCTTCTCCGTCCCCTCCCCTGTTTTATTTTGGGAAGCTATTTTGAGCCAGGGTTTTGCTATGTAGTTCAGGCTGGCCTTGAACTGTACTACCATTATGTAGTCCAGGATGGCTTCTTGGCAATCCTCCTTCCTCAGCCTCCTAAGGGCTGGGATTATCAGCATGTGTCACCATAACCCAGCCTAAATTATTTTATTTTATTTTATTTTATTTTATTTTATTTTATTTTATTTTATTTTATTTTTTGATACCAAGGATGGAACTCAGTCTAATTAATTGTAAAAGCTAGACTTGTAAAAGTCTAGCTAGGGGTTAAACCCAAGTCCTCATGCATAGTAAGCAAATGCTTTTCCATAGAGTTGTATCCTCAGCCCTCAGCAAGTTATTTTTCAAAACCAAGACTACTTAAAATGAATACTGAATATATGATAGTTTCTGTTTTGCATAGGTTTGGCAACTGCAGTATGTTTCATCTGCACTTTAGTCACTAGGTGTGTTGGAAGAGTATTGTAGGGATTTAAGGGTTGACCTTTGATAATTTTCATTTTAGGGCAAAGGTAAGGAAGATACACCTGGAACAAATGCAGCAAGGATTAAACAGGACATACATGTCCACTGATGATCTGTTGTCTCCTTCCACCTCTGCTGTACTTCCTTCCTCAAGCTGAAACAGGCTGCACATAATTTAGAGCTGGGCATGATGGGGCACGTCTATAATGCCAGCACTCAG